CTACTACTACTACTACTACTACTACTACTACTACTACTACTACTACTACTACTACTACTACTTACTACTACTTATTACTACTACTTACTACTACTACTTACTACTACTACTACTTACTACTACTACTACTACTACTACTACTACTACTACTACTACTACTACTTACTACTACTTACTACTACTTACTACTACTTACTACTACTTACTACCAATTACTACTACTTACTACTACTTACTACTACTTACTACTACTTACTACTACTTCCTACTACTAACTACTACTAACTACTACTAACTACTACTACTACTACTACTCCTACTATTCCTACTATTCCTGCTTTGGGGGGTGGCTTTGCCACAAAACTCTACCCCGCAAAAGGCGAAAGTTTGGCGAAAGTTCAGCTCAAGATTGGCGAAAGTTCACCCTGCCACATCTGACCCCCAGCCCATTATGAGTAAGTTTGGGTGACCGGCTACTACAGCGATTCTTGCATTTTTGACTCTTGCTGACACCCAGGAGAAACAAAAGAGACGTACAGGGTGTCAACAGTTAAGTAGAAGACACATGCTGACAAACAGTGAAATTTCTATTTTGTGTTTGCCAGTAAAGAAGAAGCCATTGACGTGAACAAAACACAACATACATGGCACACATAAATACAACGTACTTCGGCGAAAGATAAAACGCAGGAAGGCGAAAGTTTGGCGAAAGTAAATTTTTTTGGCGAAAATGACGGATCCCGGATAAAGGAATTTAGATCAACTCCCATATACTGTATATATTGTTGCAATCTTCAAAGGCCCTATAGAGCACCCTACAACACTGTTGAACGATGAGGTGGGCTCAACTAGGCAATAAGAAAACAGCAGCATGCATATGTTCAAATCTTCAGTTTTATGATTGAATTGCACGCAGGCAGCGGTGCTGAATGCCGCGGCGCTGCGATATACGAAGGTGAAAGATTTTGCGAAGTGCAACGAGATTTTTGAATATATGGCTGAGAAGGAGCTTCACAGAGGGAAGGCTTGCTTGTAGAATCATTACACATTTCATGTTGACGCTTGAAAGCGAGTGTTTGTGGTTTTCACTCCATGTACCCCGCGAGGATCTTTGGACGCCGGTGAGCTATGCATTAGCAAAACGAGTAGGCAGTCATGTGCAGGGATCACCACCTTTACCGGGCATGAGGACTGATCCTGTGTATTTCGGTGCTATGTCGCTCTCTGACATGTTAGTCAGGCAAGCAAGCCGTCAGTTCTGAGGTGCATGTCATTATCATGCGCTTGCTAGTCAAGGAAACAATGTGATACTGCTCCACGGAATATGACGATAATGTGATGGCCTTAAACACTGAATCTTGGTGATTCTTGGAACATGGCTCATGCGCCTAGGACTCCAGGGCCAAAAGCTCACAAGTATGTCCGTGCTTTGTACCACGCCCTCTCAAGAGCGATCCTTCACTTCGCAAAGCTCGGAGTGACAAGGTGTGCGGTGTGCGGTGTGCTTCTTAGCAATGGCCTCCAACCTAATAGCTTCGGGGAGATGTTGGGAGGCTGAAAGTTCCATTCCGGTGTCAGTCGAATCTACCCGGCTCAGTGACCGACCAGGGGAGCTACAGAAAGTACCCCTTGAAGCCCCGCAGCTTTTAGCTTCGTGCTGAACCCAATGTAGAAGCCTGGTAGAACCTTTCTGTTCATCATCCGGAACCGGACATCATTACTGTATATACATCAAGTTATGTAACTGATGAATGGCAGGCAGTGTTTGCATCCATCCTTGATTGATCTTGATTGCTGGAGTATTTCCAGCACGGAGGTTGTTGAGATTCTAAGGAAGCCTCTTGATGCTCAGAGTGCTTTGGCGGGATTGGAGCACTTTTCCCGCATCAGCCTCCTGCCGTCTAAATTGAAAAAAGACACGCGTTCATCGAATGTCTCGGGCTTCTAAATATGTGAAACATGTTATATACCGATGTGACTAGAGGGAATCCGCAACATGTATGCTATGCAAACTATTTCGGTACTGGATACATCAGGATACATCGAAGCATATATAGATGTATCATGACTTGTTCACTCTACTTTCTGACAGGTATACAATTGGATTCGCATATGAGTAATATGAGCATGCGACAGAACTTGCGTACATGCATGTTGGCAATGAGCTGCCTTAAGTATTTCTGAAATGATCAAAACCTTGCATAACCGATAGGGGTCAACCACCCTAAACCGATACCCTTCTTTGATTGAAACCGCATCATTGCCTACATTCAAAAAAACACTGGAAACTGATAGGGGCCCACACAAGTGTCTTTTTTGAATTGGAGACATGCAGCAGTCTTGTTTGCCACTCATGTGGGTGTCCATTTTCATTGAACAATTTGAGGAAACCCATCCGAGCCGTTTGACTAAACTGCAATGTTCTGTTTCTTTGGACGAAAGGTTCGCGGAACTGGCTGAAGTTTGGTGCTGCAGATGAGAAAGGGAAAGTCTTGGAAGATGCCTGGGCCACTCACGGGCAGAAGAAGGCTTCGCCGAGCCGATGGAAACGTTTGCTGTTTGTATCAACTGTGGTCATTCTATGGGAAGCCACAATGAAAGCAGGGCAGTAACTTTGCTAGGTAGATCGCGAACTCGCCAGTAGATCGCGGATTGGTGATGTCCTGAAACAACTTGGAGTGAAGCATGTCTGTGTGTCACCCGTGGCCTGATCCTTGCGTAAGACCCACTACTTCTGTATGTTTGTAGACTAGACCAACAGATCCAAGCTGAAAATCAGTGCATTAAAGCATGCCCACAGGTCTTGCACCCTCCCTCCCTCCTTTACCAGTTTCCGCATTCGAACAGACCCATAATGTGTAAGCAGAAATGTCTAACCAGCCTTGCAAGTACAGGCCCTAAGAAGCTGTTCTCGGCGAGTGAAAAAAGCTGCCAGACAAACCCTGCAAATACCAACGGATTGGAATATTGTTGGCGGCGCAAAGGACACTGCTGCCCAAGTCCTGCAAAGACCAGTGCAGATTAGCGCTGGTTCAACAACCTCCTATCTTGCAAATGCATTTTTTTCAAAGCATTGCCCTTGTCTCCGCCTTGAATACATGAGATCGACATCAACCAAAATGTTCAGTATGGCAGCAGGAAGATTGCCTGGCAGTGGAATTTGGCACCTTCCTTGGCTATTCTGCTGTCAAAATGCAGCAACAGCTTGGAGATGGGTCCAGAGTCACTTTGTGAGCATACATTCAGTTGACATGAATGAATACACAACTACAGACCAAGGCACTGTTTCTTGACATGGTTGTTTGCAGCTACTAGGACTGTTTGCCGTTTAGGATTGTTTAGGTTCTTTGCAATGGTTTTCTGGCCACCTTTCAGCACTTTGGAGCGTGACGGTGCTCTTTTGACATAGTTGAAATAGACGAGCCTTTTCTTAAGCCCGGGGGGTAGGCCACTAAGAGGAAAAGGTAGTAGCTAGGTAGGTAGCTAGTAGAAGCAAACGGTAGATAGTAGCTTAAGTAGCTACTACCTAGGACGCAGGATAGCTCACGCACTATTCATTTGGTTCCTAGATGTTTAAGGAAACTTAGGTTAGAGACTGAAATCAACTGAGTCTATATATATAGTAGACACAATCTCTATCTCCCTTTGACCCTGCTGAGCCCTGCTCAGGGTGTGCTGACCAAGGTGATCAGCTTCGAAATGGATCCTGAGGTGGCGTGTTTGGCAGCTTGGAGTTTTTGCGTTGTGTGGCTCACACAACAAGCGTGAAGAAACACCATACTACAGGCCATTGAACAAACAACATCCGGTTCTTGTTGTGGGGTTCCAAACAAAATAACTGACTTAGAACATTCATTTGAAGATGCCTGGTGCATCCTTTTGCCTTCACTTTGACGAGAGGGTATCGGTATGACCTCAAGACCATCATGGTTTAACTCTGGGTCTCTACCTTCTGGAGGAGCTCTACTCGTAGCTGCTTGCTAGTCCCTAGCCCTAGCATGTTTTGGCATTTTCCACATTTTCACGATTCACAACAAGGGAGTCTCCTCCCTACTGATTGTTTTGATGTGTGAACATGTTGGCTAAGGCCTTGAACTTCATTGAGTTCGTTGGTCTCAGTGATGTGATTGAGGTTCGGATTGGTCAGTGCGAGGATTTGGTGGACAATTTGACCCTTGGATTCCTTCCTTTTGGTCAGTGTGTGGGAGGGGGTGACTTCAGGTCTACATAATTCACGTCTACATGCGTTTGGTCGTGGACAATCCACAATGTCAGTGTCAACAGAGGAAACAACGGAAGACAACTAGGTAAGTTGCGATGAAGCAGCCGCAGCCTGGACGAAGATCGATTTATATCATCCGTTTGATAACTTGGGAGTAAAGTGGGACTTGACATTGTGACATTGCTGCCTTTGGCTGACACATGAAGTAGCCGTATTGTCCAAAGATCGTTCAAAGACCCATGTTCAATGGGCAAGAAGACAGTGGAACATCCCCCAAGTCGCAGCAAGTCCCAAGATGTTGCTATGTGTACATGCAGGCCTGTTCGCCTGTTCAGGTGTCAGTCGCGTTCTCCCAGCAATCCAGGCCCCAAGTGTTCTGCATGTGAATTGGCAATTGTGCAGCATCAGGAAAGAGGAGCTGGAGCCTGGATCCGTCCCTTGTGCTGCGACGGAATGGGATTCCCAGTCCCGGATCACTTGCTACTCATCACTAGTAGCTTCTTGCTCCTGCGTAGTAGTAGGGCCAGGAGCCCCTACTGGCGTCCTTGCTCCTAGTAGCGATGCCAGGAGCCCCTAGTAGCTTCTTGTTCCTCTACCCCCCTTGCTACTATATATATATATTATATATATAATATAATGCGGTCGTGTTTCAAGATCATTGTGAAGTTAGTTTTCTGGGCGATCCTGCCTTTTTGGCAAAGAGGGCATGGAGGAAAATCCAAATCAGTAGAGGTCACAACCCAGGATCCATACATACCGCCTCTGAATTTTGCCCCGTCTACTCTGAAATTGCTAGAATGAGCATTTGAGGACAGTTGCATTTGCAAATGAGATGCATATGTCATATGACAGGTTCCCAGACTTTGTACTTGTCCAGCTAGCAGCTAGACTCAAAAGCATCCTGTACTGCATGCTGAAAGCCTTGGCAGTGCATTGACGTTGTGTATGTGTGTGTGAGTGTGTTTTCATCAGCCATGCTGCCAGTGTCAACGGCGTTGTAAGCATGCACGCGAATGTATTGTGAAACATGCAAAAAGCAGTCCATCCATGTGAATCAATTGCGAAGGTTGATGTCGTCTACATGGATCACAATCAGATGACATATCACAGGGACTTGGCACAACTGCAACAAAGCAGGCACGGCTACGGCGCTGGGTGAGCGGTTTCAAGCTTGTACCCCACCGAGTTTAGGAATTTCAATGATTTAATGAAGCCGATGTTTCAACACTAGTCACCCTGGCAGGCTGCTGTCCAGGGAGGTGCTTTTTGCTGCCACTCAATGCTTGAAACCTGGTGCACCCTTGTTGCTATGGCAGTTGGTGCAAGAACGGAAGGCCAGCTGCCTGACACGGTGTTACAGGAAAGCACTGGTCAAGAAGAAACAGGGGTCTCCGATAGTTTCTCCAGTTTTGTCCTCCACAAATCGTGGGGGGGGGGG